TGTGTGTGTGTGTGTGTGTGTGAGAGAGTGTGTGAGAGAGTGTGTGAGAGAGTGTGTGAGAGAGTGTGTGAGTGATTGTGAGTGTGTGATTGAGTGTGTGATTGTGAGTGTGTGAGTGTGGGTGTGAGAGTGTGTGGGTGTGTGGGTGTGAGTGTGTGGGTGTGTGAGTGTGTGGGTGTGGGTGATTGTGAGTGAGTGTGTGTGATTGTAAGTGAGTGAGTGTGGGTGTGATTGTGTGTGTGTGTGAGAGAGAGTGTGATTGTGTGGGTGTGATTGTGAGTGTGAGTGTGAGTGTGGGTGTGGGTGTGATTGTGTGGGTGTGATTGTGAGTGTGGGTGTGGGTGTGGGTGTGGGTGTGTGGGTGTGTGTGTGTGTGAGAGAGAGTGTGAGTGTGTGGGTGTGATTGTGAGTGTGGGTGTGATTGTGAGTGTGGGTGTGATTGTGAGTGTGGGTGTGATTGTGAGTGTGGGTGTGATTGTGAGTGTGGGTGTGATTGTGAGTGTGGGTGTGATTGTGAGTGTGGGTGTGATTGTGAGTGTGGGTGTGATTGTGAGTGTGGGTGTGATTGTGAGTGTGGGTGTGATTGTGAGTGTGGGTGTGATTGTGAGTGTGGGTGTGATTGTGAGTGTGGGTGTGATTGTGAGTGTGGGTGTGATTGTGAGTGTGGGTGTGATTGTGAGTGTGGGTGTGATTGTGAGTGTGGGTGTGGGTGTGAGTGTGTGTGTGTGTGTGTGTGTGTGTGTGTGTGTGAATAAGTGTGTATATGAGTGTGTGTTTTACTAACAGCAGAAAGTGATTGATCAGCTCTGTTTCTGTTTGAAGATGGTAATTGCTGCAGATCCTCCAGAAACAGGATTTTCCCAATTAATCACATTTACAGATTAGACGGCTCTGATCGATCATCACATTTATGCCCTGCCAGATCAATACGAATATACTTATGCTAATAGCTATAAATCCACTTTTAGCTCCACACATTGATGCATGTTGTGTGTCATATTTCTGCTCTGTATGAGTGTTTGTGCATCCGCTCGTGTGCCGTGGGTTTCAGAGCTTCTGTTGGGCGCTAATGGATCCCATGTGCTTTAGATTCTGTGACAATGGGCAATACACAAAATATTAGCACTATTAGTGCAGTATCTTTGCTGACGATATAAAATTAGATAATATGAACTTAGGAACGCAGCAAATTCTGCATGAACGTGTGAACGTCTTCTACATTCGTTTGCGTATGAGTGGAAGTTAAAGTGTGAATAGTTCGAGTCTGAATAGATCTGTGCAATAAGAGTAAATGCAAACTAGAGCTGCTGCTTATTCTGTTTTCTGTGTATTTGTTGTTGCAACAAGCATGACTTTTTGTAAGACGTTTGCAATTTTTTGTATTATTTTTATAAAGCATATTTTTATATTGGTAAGTAAATACGATTTTAAATGTTTCTTTTGTGTTCATTTAGTAAAAAGCAATAAGCGGTCACTGTCTTTAATTTTTTTAACTAGGTTTGATTTTACATTAAACAATTTGTATGTCCTTTGTAACAATAGCTGGTCTGTCCAGATCACGTCTTTTTCAAAAAAATAAATGTGTACATGAGCAAATGCACAAAAATATTGAGATATAAAATGAATGTAAACACAATTCCTACTTCAGACCTGTGCTGAGACGCTTGAGTGCTGCTGGGAAACATCTTCATCTGCACACCCGTGTGTGTGTGTGTGTGTGTGTGTGTGTGTGTGTGTGTGTGTGTGAGAGAGAGTGTGTATAAGAGTGTGTGTGTATAAGTGTGTGTGTGTGCGTATAAGTGTGCGTATAAGTGTGCGTATAAGTGTGCGTTGATTTTACATTAAACAATTTGTATGTCCTTTGTAACAATAGCTGGTCTGTCCAGATCACGTCTTTTTCAAAAAAATAAATGTGTACATGAGCAAATGCACAAAAATATTGAGATATAAAATGAATGTAAACACAATTCCTACTTCAGACCTGTGCTGAGACGCTTGAGTGCTGCTGGGAAACATCTTCATCTGCACACCCGTGTGTGTGTGTGTGTGTGTGTGTGTGTGTGTGAGAGAGTGTGTATAAGAGTGTGTGTGTGTATAAGTGTGTGTGTGTGCGTATAAGTGTGTGTATAAGAGTGTGTGTGAGTGAGTGAGTGTGTGTAGAGTGTGTGTGTGTGTGTGTATGTATAAGAGTGTGTGTGTATATAAGAGTGTGTGTGTGTGACCCCTTGAGTCTCCGGGTAACTGACCCTTTGGCTCAGTGGCCACAACAAAAGCACTCAGACACATTCACTCGGTTGTCGTGTCTGTCTGTGTTCTGGTCATCTGTTCACTCACTGGTTAGCAGACGCTCACTAGTTCTGCAGGACTGATGTAATGGATCGTGTGTCTCATTTACTGTGGTTAATAGATGTGAGTAAAAACACTGAATTTGGGCATATCTGGACACGTTCATGTGTCTTCAGACTGTTTAATCATGTTTTTTTCTCTGCAGTGTGAGAGACTGAAATTCTCTCATTGTTTGTGTCTTAATTACTAAAGGTGCGTCTTTTCTTCTTTCACTCTTTTCAGGCCGTTACTGAGGTTTGTTCCTAATGCGGCTGCAGACGAGCTGCTTTCACAATGAGATTAACTGACCCTCAACACACACACACACACACTTCAACTCTCACTCACTCACTCACTCACTCACTCACTCACACTGACACTCACACTCACTCTCACACTCACTCACACTGACACTCACACTCACACACACGCACTCACTCACACTGACACTCACTCACACTGACACACTCACTCACACACACGCACTCACTCACACTGACACTCACACTGACACACTCACACTGACACACTCACTCACTCACACTGACACACACTCACTCACACACTCACACTGACACACACTCACTCACACACTCACACACACACACTCACTCACCACTCACTCACACTGACACTCACACTGACACACTCACACTGACACACTCACTCACTCACACTGACACACACTCACTCACACACTCACACTGACACACACTCACACTCACTCACACACACAAACACTCACACTGACACACACACTCACTCACACTGACACACACTCACTCACACTGAAACACACACACACTCACTCACTCACACTGACACACTCACACACTCATTCACTGACACACACACTCACACTGACACAAACACACACTCTCACACTGACACACACGCTCACACACAAACACGCACACTCACTCACACTGACACAAACACACTCTCACACACACACACACTCACACACACACAGGCAGGTCGCGGGCGTCTCTCTCTGCGCCGTTAGCTGCTGATGTTCTTATTAAAGGCTGATTTGTGCTGCTGAAGGACTGCAGAGCTCCGTCTGTGCTCGTCAGCTCCTAATGCGCTCGGCTGCAGCCGCGTCACGATCCGCTCGCGGGGGTCTCCGCCGCTCCTGCCCAACTGTGAAAGCTCTCAATTATCCGCGTCTGACTAACTGGCCGCTGCTGCTCCGAGGTCATGATCTCAACAGCTGCATCCGTGTGTGTTTCAGCAGAGCACCGACTGAAGATCTGCCGAAATCCCCCTCGCTCTCTGCAGCGTTTTTCACATTTGATTGTCGCTTCGACACTCTTCATTCTGTTCGTGTTTTCGCGTTTGACGCCTCAGACCGCCGGGGTTTCTGTTTTTGCAGTTTTTTTTTCTTCTCAATTCCTACTCTTGCAAACACGTCCAGTTCAGTTAAAACTCTGAGAAAACGAATTCCTCCGTCTGCAAATTAGCATGTGTGGTCGCTCTAGAAAACACTCTTCACTGGACGATCAGCACATGGACTGGTTTGCTGTAAAAACACTGGAAACTCTGTTTTTCTGGTGGAGTTTCCAGTGATAGGCAGCTCTATCTGAACAGGCAGCGCTTGAATAGATGGATTACAGCGGAGCCGCTCAAAGGGCCGTCGCTCTGCGTCTCTTTGCATCTGAATGCTGCTCTCTGTGTGTCTCGGGCTTCGAGCAGCTCAGCAGACTGAAGACGTGGCGCTGAAGCTCTTCTGTAAATGTATTTGCTCTAAACAACACACGGATCCAAGATTCCCGCGCCTGTAACGCCAAGAGAAACATTCGTCTGTTTTCGCTCGTTGAGCTTCTTTGACTGATTGCAACGACGGCCGAGGAGCGTGACTGGCGTTGGAGAGGATGGAATGGCATGGAAGTGACTTTATTAAACTTCTGCAGGAGTAATGGAGTGCTTTTGCAGCAGTTACTGTGAGATTGACGCGTCCAGCGTGACTGAGGTCAAGTGGATGGCTGTTTGTGTTAGTGGGGGTGTTATTTGATGGGGCTGCTGGGATAGGAAGCCTGTGATAGGGGTCAAAGGTCAATTTCAGTCCAGCGAGAAGCTCTCGGTCCTCAGTGCACATGTCTCGTTGCCTCGTGTTTTTGATTTTGCATCAATGATCCTGTTTATTTGAAGCACTACAGACATGAATGTGACGTGCAGCTGAGAGCAGGATGACTGTTTATCAGTGACTCTATTTGACTGTGTTTTCTCTCGTCCTCCTGCAGGCTGATGTCGCAGTCGCCACAGGAAACAGGGTTAATCGCCATAGCAGCACGTCAGACACAGGGCAAAGGTCAGCGGGTTTCCATCGGCTCTCACACAGCCGCATTAACTCTGGTTTAACATGTAAACGAGCGGGTCATTCATTGATGCTGTGCTGCAGGCCGCGGGGGGAATGCCTGGCTGAGTCCGCTGGGATGCGCCATGTTCACTCTCCACCTGCAGCTTTCTGTGGACTCACGGCTCGGACAGAGGATCCCCTTCCTGCAGCACCTCGCCGCCCTCGCCGTGGTGGAGTCTGTGCGCACGCTGCCCGGATACGAGGTGCTCACACACACACACACACACGTGATTGTGTCTGCTCCACTGAAGTGTGTGTGTGTGAGTGTGCGTGGGATGCAGAGGAAATACTTTAAATAAATTTCAGGAGAAATGTTGAACTGAGAAGTAGGGGTGTCGAAATTAATCGTTTCTACGATGCATCGCGATGCAGACAAGGACGATTCGGTATCGGTTCAGTAATAGACCATAACCGATTATAACGTACTGACGCTTTTCTGACGTCATTTGTCGTGGTAGCATACATTAAGGCCCGGGTATACTTCACTTTCCGCGTTCCGTCCCGTCCCTCGCACAGCCGCGTCCGCACAGCTTTCAAAGTATACTCAACCGCGCTCACGACACATGCACAGTACCACATACTTGACTTGTGCTCTGTCTCAATATTCACCTCACGCATACGCTGTTGTACGCGCATCATCCGCGCGGTTTCAAAAAATTGCAAAGCAATCTCTTCCACAAGCATTGGGGGTGTGCGATATATATCGTCTGCAGTAATATCGTCATTGTTGTTTTAACGTGTGTGTATATATATATGTATGTATAAATGTATAAATGTATAAATATATATATATATATATATATATATATTATTTCATATAGTTAATATCACGCAAAAAGAGCTGTTTTTTCTCCAAAAATCAGCATGATTACAAATGTGATATTGATTTTATACAACAGTTCAATAAACAAGTTAATATTAAAGAGCAGGTCATATGGGTTTTTGAAAAAGATCTCTTTTGCAGTTTATAATGTAGCTATCCTTAAATGAAAACAATCTGCAAAGTTGTTAATCAGAAAAGTGCATGATAAATAAAGATATTCTCTCTCAAAAGAGAGAGTCGGTTCTGAATCTTCTTAACGAGTTGTCATATTTTCAATCTTTTGCCTGTTACCGGTATACGTCACTGGGTAACACATTTGCATAATCCCCAGCTGCCCGCGAGTCTGACCCGCCCACAAACACTTCCGCTAGTTAGTGTGTTGACATCATGTGGAGAAGACGCTGTGACAGATACCACAGATGTGTCACAGATACCACAGAAATACAATTCCAACCTTTTGTTGTGTGCATATCATTTTATCAAGGACTGCTTCTCTAATCTTGACTTTTATCTTCGTTAGACTCCGACACAATATTAGGACACTTTAAAATACCATATGACCTGCTTTTTAAGAGACTTACATTTTTTTGCCCCTGACTGCTGATCCTTCGTTTAATAATAAAGAATGTAGTGTAGCGCACAGACTTTATAATCATTGTGAAACTGCTGTTTATTTTGCTGCACGGCAGTTCTAGGGTTAATGCGGGAGTTAGTTAGGCTGCTGCACCTGTGTTTCAGCTGTTCTGCGTTCTGATTAAAAGCACTCGGCTAACGTAGCCACCGTTATTGTTTTAAGTGTTCACAGTTTAGCAGCTAATTACATTTTTTTGCCCCTGACTGCTGATCGTTTTTGCTCTATTTCGCCTACAAAAATAATTCCAAACAGAACCACAGCACTGTTCTGCGTCTCTAAACTACATGGCGTGTTTCGTTCCTGAATGAATCAACCGTTTAAATGATTCGGTTCAATCACAATGACTCACTTATTAACAGTGACTTGCTGCCACCTACTGGCGGTTTTAACTTCACATTCAAAGTATCTTTTCTTTTTTTCTTTTAAATCATTTCAAAAAGCAAAACATTATTTCTGCATGTGTAACTGCAGGTTAAGTGCATTCATGTCCTGCATTAAACAGTGAGTGAACGCATCTAAATGCCTCCAGACGCAGCACTGCAAAGATCAATTCTGTTGATACGGATTTCATTTGCCTGGTAAAAGCCCAGAAGTCTCATTCTAACCCACTGATTAAATGTAAAAATTTGGCTCAAAAGATGATCCACACTTTTAGAAAAAAATGGCTTTATAAAGGTAAAAATGCCCATAAAAGGTAAAAATCAATTTAAACTCATTGGAAAAGGATTCGCTAGTTCTATCACTGCTGTGAACTGACCAGCACACAGAATATGAAGAATATCAAAAACATTAGGAGTCAGCTGTCCACGGTAAAATATCAGCACAATAACACGCTCAGCAAAATATCATCTAATTATCGTTATCGATAAAATTCCAGAAAATATATCGAGATATCTTTTTTTGACAATATCGCACACCCCTACTTTGAACTATCCCTTTAAATGAATGAATGCACAAGTATGTAATATTTTCATGTGTTTTTGCAGGACGTGGACCTGCGGCTGAAGTGGCCCAATGACATCTACTACAGTAACCTGATGAAGCTCGGCGGGGTTCTGGTCAACTCCACCGTCACGGGGCGAACCTTCAGCCTTCTGATCGGTATGGTCTCAGCAGGTCAGTGTGTTCTCAGTGTCTCAGCGTGACGTCTGTGGTGTTTCCTGCAGGCTGTGGGTTCAACGTGAGCAACAGCAACCCGACCGTCTGCATCAACGACCTGGTGCTGCAGCAGAACCGGGAGCACGGCCTCGGCCTGGACGTGCTCGCTTCGGATCAGCTGATCGCGCGGTCGGTCACGCTGCTGGAGCGCTTCGTGTCGGACTTCCAGCTGCGCGGCCCGCAGGCGCTGCTGCAGCTCTACTACAGCAGATGGGTGCACAGGTGAGCCGTCTGACGCTCCACACACACCTGTGTCTGTGCGCGTGTGTGTGCTGATGTGTGTCTGTGTTTCAGCGGCACACGCGTGCGTCTCTGGAGCGAGGACGGGCCCGAGGCACAGGTGCTGGGTCTGGATGAGAACGGCTTCCTGCAGGTGAGGACGGGAGATCAGGTCGTGTCTGTGCAGCCCGACGGAAACTCCTTCGACATGCTGAGGAACCTGGTGGTGACCAAAACACGCTGAAGACCTCCAGAACACGTCGTCTCAGCTGGCAGCAACTACACAGAAAACTTGCTCAGCCATCATTTAATACGAATTCATTTAGCAGAAATGTCTATCTCTTTCTGAATTGTTTTAACTCATTTCAGCGCCTGTCTGCAACCCGTTCTGCTTCAGCTGTGTGATGCTTTTCAGAGTCCAGCAGGAGATTCGACAACACAAATGTGAATCTTGAGAAGTGTGTGTGGTGTTTGCTGTAGAATAACATGCACCAGTCAATCTCTCGTTAGATAAATAGGCCATTTTGATTTCACTTTACTGTTAAACGTGTGCAGACCGACAGCAGGGACGTTTATGGGCTTTAATATGAGCAATATTTCTTTTAAGTCTCGTTCAGTGTTTGGTGTAATGGATCAGAGTGATTACTGGGGAAAAGCACATGCTCATATGCCTCTCAAAAATATTAATTTGAAATCATTAAGTGGAAAAATGTTTCTGTGATTCTTCCCATTAACACACTGCTTTTACAGTAAAGGCTGATGATTGCCTTTTCCCGTGAACTGATGAGTTAGTTTAGAGAGGTAATTAGTGATCTGTAGTGGATTACTATCTATTAACCCAACACTAGCCAGTAAACTGAAGAGGTTTATGTGGAAATCCGACTGACGCTCGTTAAAACTTGTGCTTTTGTCTGTAATTCTCGTTTGGTTGCACGCTCGCTTTTGAGGTGATTTTGTATATTCATATCGCATCAAGTAATCAGCATCACTAAATATTTTGTAATGATTCATGGTTTGTAAACAGATACAGATGATCCCTTTTAAAGAAGACATTCCCGAGTTGTATAAAATGAAATAAAATGATTGTGACTAATTGATCGTTCAGTGTGCTTGTTCCTTCAGGCTGTGAAGCGCAGATGTGTATGTGTGTGTGTGTGTGTGTGTGTGTGTGTGTGAGTGTGTCTGTGAGTGAGAGTGTGTGTGTGTGTGTGTGAGAGAGAGTGTGTGTGTGTGTGTGTGAGAGGGTGTCTGTGAGTGTGTGTGAGTGAGTGAAAGTGTGTGTGAGTGAGAGTGTGTGTCTGTGAGTGTGAGAGGGTGTGAGAGTGTGTGTGAGTGAGTGTGTGTGTGAGAGTGTGCGTGTGTGTGTGCGAGAGAGTGTGCGTGTGTGTGAGAGTGTGCGTGTGTGTGTGCGGAAAGTGTGTGTGTGAGTGAGAGTGTCTGTGAGTGAGTGAGTGTGTGTGAGTGAGTGAGAGTGTGTCTGTGAGTGAGAGTGTGTGTATGAGTGAGAGTGTGTGTCTGTGAGTGAGAGTGTGTATGAGTGAGAGTGTGT